TATATATATATTCACAAATCAAAAGTCATAAATGATAAATTATAATTCATAGCGCAATGACTCGTACAACATAAATTATTTATTCCAAATCACAGATTCACAAATCATAGATAACAGATTCACAATTCTCATTTGAATGTCAAATTTTCAATTAATTCATAGAATATAAATCATTACTCATAACTCATAAGTGAAAAAGTTATAAATAAAAAATAGCACCAGTCACCAAAGCCAAAGAGAGAGAGAGAGAACAAAAGAAGTTGAAGGAGAAATCGAGAAAGGCAGTCACTAGTCACTAATGTCTGTCGGCGACTAGGCGGGCGACAGCACGATAGGCTGTAGCAATTCGCACAGCTCACGGCTATACAACGACGCTCTTCCAACGTGGATGACAATTGACAGGATGAGAGTTTCTGTGAAATGCACAAAAAACGCTGCGTATGTTTTCTTCTCACTGTAGCTGGGAGCCTGGGTATGTTTTCTTTTGGCATATCATATTTGTTTTCTTTTGAGCCAGTCATTTAAGGAAAAAAAAACCCCACACTCGACAAGTCACAGCATAAGCCCAAACGTAAGGGGAAAAAAAGGTCCAGAAACATTACATAGCCCGCAGAGTCGCAGTCACCGCCCGCAAGTCTTGTTGCCTTCTTCCTTCCACTGTTCCGACGGATCTCAGCACGCACGATCGCGCCCCCTCGTCGGGTGCTAGGTCTGCCACTAGCTACTCTGAAACATGTATGCATTGGTGGGACAAACTCTTCTCTTCTAGTTCAAGTATTTTCCATCCGAAGATCAATCAGGGATGTGTTATCGAAAGTATTTTTGGCTTCAATGTATTGCACCATCATGTATGTCTTCTATTTAATCAGCTAAATCTCCCAAGTCTTTGACCTTCGTGGTCTTTTTTATAGCCAGCAAGATACGAAGAAAGAAAATGTTGTTGAGTTTGCTACTTGTAATGATGTATTATTACACAATTTTTAATATGAATTAAACACAAACAACGAGGATGTAATATGATTATTACACAATTTGTTAGTTAAAAATTTAAAAAATTACAAGCTATGTAAAATAATAGTGTAGCTACAATTATTGTAAAGAAGTAATACACTATAATTCTTGTGCAAGTATTGTCTACCAATTTAAACCAGAGCCTTTGGTTAAGATCCACAAATGGAAGTCCACTATCAAGGTTACACATTCAAACCCAAAAACTCCGAGTTCAAAACAATAAGAAACCAAAATTAAATAACGCGAAAGCCCAATAAGTAATTGCCTAAAGCTCGATTGACATTGACATGGATATCCAAAAATGTGATGATTGAGTACAACAAAGTACAAATACAATGTCGTGGGGAAAGATCTAACTAATGAGAAAGTGAGCCGTGAAAACATAATGAAACACAAGATTTTAGACATCAAATACATACGTAATAAATTGTGCCAAAGATTCGAATTGATGAGGGGGACATGGAAACATATCAAGCACAACACGGCAAACGTCGAATGCTCATATAACGCATTATGTCATACATCCGAAACGTTTAGTGGGTTGGCATTTCTATTTCAGCTATGCCTCCTAGCTCACAAAGGGCCATGGTTATGCAACACATGATAAAGTAGCCAAATGAAGTTTCTCCTTCTTTGATTTGGGAGCTTAACGATGGGATACTTGATAACCATAATTTTTTTCTAAGAACAGGTTCTAGGACGATAGATAGGGGTCAAATTTGTTTGGCATCTTTGCCCTCCAAACAGTATGGGAGTCTTTCAACTTGTATTGTTCATAGTCTAAATTGTTCACGATACTTCCTCTACTATAGTGTAAGTTGAGAGAAAGGCGGGATTTACTAAAAAAAAAATAGCATTCAACGTCATCAAGAACTCCAAAAAAACAAAAAATCAACTATGTTTGCCCACCGATTTGACCATAGGTTAAATTCAGCGGCGGACCCAGGATCTAAATTCAGCCCGGGCGGACGTTGACAACGTCAACCAGTCAACATCGACCATTAGCGATTGTAAGTGTGAGGCCGTTTATTAATATTTAATTATATAATATTAAAAATTATTCAATATATATGTAATCTACATAAGGTTGAAACCTCTAGTTCAAACTAGTCATGCTTTATTTCGTAAGTTTATGTGAAACTCTTGAAGTTAAACTTTTGTTTCAAGGTTGCAAATATAATTTATTTTTGACAACTCAACGTCTAAACTATATTAACTTTTTAAAGTAAGTTTCTGCATTAAGTTTTCAGTTTCAAGGTACCGTTTGCAACCTTAAGAACCTCTAAGTTTAGTAAAATAGTTAACTCTCGGGATTTAGGGTGTGTTTGAGCCACATTATTTTGAAATAATGTATTTTAAAATAGTAGATTGATGGGGAATATGTGATTGAAAAAAGGAAAAGTTATTGATGTGATGAAAAATATTATTTTATTGAAAAATGTATGGTTAAAAATGAATAGAAGAATAAGAATGAAAAAAATAATGTGGTACAAACAGGAGTTTAGATTTTGAAGCATTACACTCACTCACCCCTTTTGTCTGTACTTTTGGAGAATATAAAAAAAAGTCTTTGGGGATTGAAGCAAGAAAATTCAAGAACAATGATTGGAAACTGTAATAGTTCGGAGAGAAAAATTAGAATTAGAGTTAGAATTACTCATGCATCTTCTTCATTAATTTTTAATATATATATATATATATATATACAGAAATGATCTAATGAGCACCGGTGCTCATCTTATCCTAAGCACCGATGAGT